AATCTGAGCTGCAGAAAATGAGATTATCCTCGACTGATTCAGCTGAAAAAAAACATCTAAATCAGCTTGTAGACAAAGACTCCCAACGCACATCACTGTGCTGCACACACACACACACACACACACACACACGCACACACACACACACACACACACACACACACACACACACAGATCCTAACTGATTTAAAACATCATTAGTGTCTGAGATTAAACCTGTTTCCTATGATCGAACATTTCTTCAAACGTTTCCACAAAGACTGACGATCAATATTCACTGTCAATAAGATCAGTTAAAGATGATCAGAAACACTAATCCAGAACTGTCAATCATAAACAGGAGAGTCCAGTTTAAAGACCAGCTGATCCTGGTTCTACCCGGTCTCCTCTGTCATGGTCCAGTCTGAACCTCATCAGTGGATTTCCACTCCAGAGTCCTGAACCTCTGAGAGACTCCGCCTCTCTGCAGGTCCGTCTTAGACCTGGTCATGTGACTAACCCTCATGTCAGAACTTTGGACCTCTTCTCTTCACGACCTTCTCCTTCTTCTTGTGTTAGTCTAAACTCTTCAGGTCCAGGTAGACTCTCCCTCACCTGCGCTCTCACACAGACTCACCTGGGCATGTAGAGGACCCTCTCAGCCACCACGAAGCCCACCCTGAAGAACAGGTTACTGGCAGGAACGAAGGGGAACACCAGGAACAGAAGACCCACCAGAACCTCCCTGCTCTCCTGTCTCTGCAGGAGGAGGAGGAGGAGGAGAGGGAGAGACAGGGGGAGGAGGAGGAAGAGAGGGAGAGACAGGTGGAGGAGCAGGAGGAGAGGGAGAGACAGGAGGAGGAGGAGGAGAGGGAGAGACGGGGGGAGGAGCAGGAGAGGGAGAGACAGGAGGAGGAGAAGGAGGAGAGGGAGAAACAGGAGGAGGAGAAGGAGGAGAGGGAGAGACAGGAGGAGGAAGAGGAGGAGAGGGAGAGACAGGAGGAGGAGCAGGAGGAGAGGGAGAGACAGGAGGAGGAGGAGGAGGAGAAACGAGGAGGAGGAGCAGGAGGAGAGGGAGAGACGGGGGGAGGAGGAGGAAGAGAGGGAGAGACAGGAGGAGGAAGAGGAGGAGAGGGAGAGACGGGGGAGGAGGAGGGGGAGGAAAGGAAGGAGAGGGAGAGACAGGAGGAGGAGTGACAATAACAATAAATCAGCTGTTTCACTGTCAAATAAATAAATAAACTGAATAAGAGGGCTCCAAACACACACACACACACACACACACACACACACACACACACACACACACACACACACACACACACACACAGCCGCCGTGACCAATCAGTCTTGAATATTAACGATCATCTGATGAGATCAGAGATCAGAGAACCAATGAAGACGATCATGTATTAGTGAAGTCCTGTATAACAACACGGGTAATATGAACCTTAATACTGAGTAAACTTGGTATCTGAGAACATGAACCCTTTATGACCACAGATACTACAGATACTACAGATACAGATACTACTGCTGCTGCTGACAGTTTGCTTTAGAAAATAAACTCAAGGACAGATTTTCTCTGCTGCACTCTCTCTCTCCCCCTCTCTCTCTCTCTCTCTCTCTCTCTCCCTCTCCCTCTCTCCCTCTCTCTCTCTCTCTCTCTCTCTCTCTCTCTCTCTCTCTCCTCTCTCTCTCTCTCTCTCTCTCTCTCTCTCTCTCTCCCTCTCTCTCTCTCTCTCTCTCTCTCTCTCCTGTATGACAGAGCGGTAAATTCTCTCTCTCCCTCTCTCTCTTCCTCTCTCTCTCCCTCTCTCTCTCTCTGTCTCTCTCTCCCTCTCTCTCTCTCTCTCTCTCTCTCTCTCCTGTATGACAGAGCGGTAAATTCTCTCTCTCTCTGTCTCTCTCTCCCTCTCTCTCTCTCTCTCTCTCTCTCTCTCTCTCTCTCTCTCTCTCTCTCTCTCTCTCTCTCTCTCTCTCTCTCTCTCTCTCTCTCTCTCTCTCTCTCTCTCTCTCTCTCCTGTATGACAGAGCGGTAAATTCTCTCTCTCCCTCTCTCTCTTCCTCTCTCTCTCCCTCTCTCTCTCTCTGTCTCTCTCTCCCTCTCTCTCTCTCTCTCTCTCTCTCTCTCCTGTATGACAGAGCGGTAAATTCTCTCTCTCTCTGTCTCTCTCTCCCTCTCTCTCTCTCTCTCTCTCTCACTCTCTCTCTCCCTCTCTCTCTCTCTATCTCTCTCTCTCTCTCCTGTATGACAGAGTGGTAAATTCTCTCTCTCTCCCTCTCTCTCTCTCTCTCTCTCTCTCTCTCTCTCTCTCTCTCTCTCTCTCTCTCTCTCTCTCTCTCTCTCTCTCTCTCTCTCTCTCTCTCTCTCTCTCTCTCTCTCTCTCTCCTGTATGACAGAGCGGTAAATTCTCTCTCTCTCTGTCTCTCTCTCCCTCTCTCTCTCTCTCTCTCTCTCACTCTCTCTCTCCCTCTCTCTCTCTCTCTCTCTCTCTCTCTCTCCTGTATGACAGAGCGGTAAATTCTCTCTCTCTCTCTCTCTCTCTCTCTCTCTCTCTCTCTCTCTCTCTCTCTCTCTCTCTCTCTCTCTCTCTCTCTCTCTCTCTCTCTCTCTCTCTCTCTCTCTCTCTCTCTCTCTCTCTCTCTCCTGTATGACAGAGCGGTAAATTCTCTCCTCCTGTTAAAGTTTCTAATAAAAACCTTCACAAAGACCTCAGAGTGAAAAAGTTACTCAATCATATTTTCCTGCCAAGAAACTTTCAGTCAGACGGATGTCGTTCTCTCCTGCTCTGCAGCACGGCTCACTAAAGACACCTTGAACCCAACGCCATCTGAGATGTTGGGTGGAGATAAGCACAGAGGCATTATGGGAAATAAAAATGGAGTTCAAAGCTCTGTGGGAAGGCAGGAGGTCTTACAAAAGCAGGTGTTGACTGAGAGAGAGCGAGAGCTGCCTCCCTGCTGACAACACACTGTAATCCACACCAACACACTGTTCACAGAGCCCAGTCCGTCTCCACGGTAACAGCAGGTGTGTGAGACGAGGAGGCTGCTCTGAAAACGTGAAGGAAAAAGAAGAAGGGTGTGTGTGTGTGTGTGTGTGTGTGTGTATCTGCCCTCTAACTTTGGTGTGTAAAGGGTTAACGCAGGCGAGGAAAGGGCGTCATTACATCAGTTTAACCGTCGAACCGCTCTGCAGCGACCTTTTCTTTAACGACGTGCTAATGAGGAGTCCCGCCGAGATCTGAGAGCGCCATGATTACTAACGGTCTTCACTGAAACATTCAAAGACTCATTATAGGCGATATTATAGCTGTCTATCTATCTATCTGTCTATCTATATAAATATATATATATATATATATATATATATATATATATATAATTATTATTATTATCATCATATATACTCAGTATTAAATAGAAATATATATTATATTATTATATTATATTTATCCAATATTCTTTACATAAATAAATATATGTATCTTATTAGATATACTGTATATATTATTAGATATAAATTCAATATTATAATCATTTAATTTTTATTTATATACAATATGAAACATTTATATAATATTATATATATATATTCTATATTAAATATTAATGTACTATTATATGTATTGAAAAATATATATTTATATATAAATATATACATATATAGATAGATATAAACATACATGTACGATCTTATATATTCAATATTATGTATATTATATATGCTATAATAATAATAATTATTATCATTATTAACCTTATAATTATCCTTATTATTACATATTTAACTTGACATAAATATCATTATATATTCAATATTATATCTATTATTTTTACATTATCATCATTATTATTATGTATATTATCATCAGTCTAATAAATGGTTGATAAAGTGGAGGATGAGCTGAGATTCACAAACACAGACTCTGTTTTTAACGTTTCCGTCTGTTTCTGTGAGGACGTCTTCTGGACCAACAGGACCGAACGGTTCTGGTTCTGTGAAGACGCTTTGAAAACACCGTCCAGAATGGACCCGGATTAAAGTGAGACCAAAGTACTTTAGAAGTTCCTCCATCAGATTCATGACTGACAAGCATCAGGAGGTCATGTGACATCGAGTCTGTGGACGGCGTGCTCTCACTCACCTGCAGAGAACAGACGCAGTGAAGGCAGAGAGCGAGCATCACCACGGCCAGCAGCACGGTCGCCAGGTTACGGACATCGCCCAGCGACTCCACCAGGGGGATGCTCCCCACCTGCCAGTCGTAACAGAGCATGACGGGGGCGAGCAGCAACCAGGCGTTAAAGGAGAGCAGGTAGGAGTAGGTGAGGAACCTGCAGAGGGAGGAAGAGGAGGAGAGAAGGTCGGACCGGGTCAGAGCTGGAGTCCATCCTGATCATCACCCTGGTTCTCCTCATATTCAAACACTCAACGCTGAGGTCGATTATTGATTATTGATCAGGAGGATTTTTCTAACTTTACGTTTAGAGCAGAGAAAGTGAGTCCAAACGGAGTCACCGAGTTTAAAATCGTGATAATAATCGAGATCGGACGATTTTACAAAATATATCCTGATCCTTTTTTTTTACCAAATCGCCCAGACTGACCTCCTGTGTCTGTCTTTGCACGCGCTCAGTAACGTCTTCAGACTAAAAACTCATCCTGCATCATCTCCTGTGGGTTTCTCTGGTGGATGGGTCTACGCCTACACTCCTGGACCAGAACTAAAACTGGAAAAGAGAAACCCGACCAGCTCCAGGGTTTCTCCTAAACTCAGACTGAAGGAGCAGAATCAGAGCTCCGATCTCCAAACACACAGAGACACACGGAGACGAAGTCCTCGTCCATCTCTGCAGGACAGGAGAACTCAGCCGGGGACAGAATTGTTCTGAACAGACGGGCCGTGAAGACCCGACGCAGGTTCACCTTTGATTTCCTCCAGGACCGCAGAGAGTCAACGTGGTTTCTTCTGCTGATGGGACCAGAGAGGGTGTGTGTGTGTGTGTGTGTGCGT